TATTAACGTGAAGGTCCTGGGGGCGTGGGGCCTGGGTGAAGGAGTTACGCCTCCAGCCTCCCCGCCCCGCAGCTGTGCGGGTTGCTTGAGTCACAGAGACAGGACAGCGGCGAGCTGCTGGCACTGCAAGGAAGAACGGTGGGTGTGGCGTGTGAGGCGCTCCAAGCGTGCGCTGCCTGAGCGACGGGCCGCAGGACGCGCTCGGGCGGAGGCACCCGCGGTAGCGCTTGCAGTCCGAGACCGGGGACGACACGGAGGCCCGTGCGGATGCGCTGGAGCGACGGCACGCCAAGCCAGGTGCCAGGGATCGCCATGACTCCTTCGCCCAGGTGCGCGCTACGCTGTAGAGCGGCAGACGCGCGGAGCCAGCGACGTAGTTTCCCACAGAGCTTAAAAAGGGAGTAGGGAGAATGTAGTGAAAAACTGAAAGAAAACAGAATCCCAGAATTACAATTGTGAAGGTCCCACATCACCTACAAGTCTCCACTAGAAAGGCAGCATGGTATAAAATGCTCGAGCTCTGGAGCTAGTTGGACCTCCAAGCCAAGGCCACTTAGCTAATCTCTCTAGTCTCCTTATTTGTAAAATGCAGGTAGGTAGCGATAGTCCCCACCTCATGCAATCGCAGTGTGATCGAAATAGCTAACACAGGTCAAATGATCAGAGCAGTGCCTGGCTCACGGCAAATGCTCTAGTGAATGTTAGCTCATTCCTGTTCCACAAATGATACTTTGCTTGACTATTTGTGCTCTAACGTTTCAACAGTGCTTGCACACAAATATTCAATCTTACTTCAGATATACTTTGTCACCATTTTACAGATAAAGAAACCAAATGAAAAAGTAAAAAAAAGTCATCTGCTTGAGTTCATACAATTAGTATGTAACCAAATGGGAAATGGAAACCAGGTTCCCAAATACCAGCTGCTTTCTCTGAGTATCTGTTATGTGCCAGGTATTAAGGAAGGTGTTTTTTAGCACATCACCACTTGCTGAGTATTGCCACTACTATCAGTTGAGGAAATTGAGGACAAAGGTTAAAGGTTAAAGATAAAAAGGTGCTGATACTAGGCCTGGAACAGAAGTCAGGCTGGCTCTACTTAGGTGACTTTCACCTCTTTGGATCGAATATATGCTCCCTGTTATCGTTTGGCCTCTTGTCCCCTCCAAATTTCATATTGAAATTCCATCCCCAGTGTTGGGGCGGGGCCAGGTGACAGTGTTTGTGTCATGGGAGTGGATCCCTCATGAATGGCTTGGTGTTCTCCCATAGTAATGGGTGAGTTCTTGTTTTATTACTTCACTCAACAGCTAGTTGTTGTAAAAGAGTCTGGCACCATCTCCTCCTCTTCTCTTGCTCCTTCTCTCACCACATGACAAGCCTGCTACCCCTTCTCCTTCCACCTAGATTGGAAGCTCCCTGAAGCCCTCGCCATAAGCAGATGCGGGTGTGATGCTTCTTGCAGCTTGCAGAAGCACCAGCCAGATAAACCTCATTTCTTCATAAATCACCCAGCCTCAAGCATTCCTTCCTAGCAATGCAAAACAGACTAACACACTCCCCACCAGCGTGGCTGCCTCTGAATTCTATATACTGGCACTTGCTAGCATCTATGAGAGAATCAGAGATAAAGGAATCTCAGTCCTGTCCAAGAAAAGCTCATAGCTTTGTGGAGAATATAAATGAAGCACACACCCAGATGCAACACAATGTGAAAAGGTGCTGTGGGAGTCCCTTCCAGCCTGAGGTGCCATTTGGAGGCCAGCCCGGAGGAGAATAGGATTGGAGCGTGTGCATGAGTGGATGAAGTCAGGCACGGGGAAGGGAGGAGGGCAGCAGGAATTCATAAGCTGAGTGGACAGGCAGACATAAGGACCTCCTAGGAATAGCCAACAATTAAGCCAGTATATGCAGAAGGCTTTTGGAAGGTAATATTCAAAAGGGAATTTGAAATGTTTGCAAGGAACTAGGAGTATGAAGCTAAAGAGTTTAAACTTCTTCTTTTTTAGGCATCAGAGATCCATCAGAGTTGGGTTGCTTTTATTTTTTTGCAAGTGCTTTTTAAAATCAACTCTTCTTTATTTTGAGGTAATTGAATGTTCACATGCAGGTGTAGGAAGTCATCCAGAGAGAGCTCACAGATAACTTTTACCTAGTTTTTCCCACAGTGATATCTTGCAAAACTATAGTCAATATCACAACCAGAATATTGACATTGATACAATCCTCTGATCTTATTCAGATTTCCCCAGTTTCACGTGTACTCATTGTGTATGTATCTAACTCTGTGGAATTGTATATAAATGTAGGTTTGTGTATCTACAATCACATAGAGCTACAGAACAGTTCTATCACCACAATAATCTCATGTTGCCCTTTTGCAAACATATCCACCTTCATCCTATGCCCCCATGCTTCACACCTAACCCTTGGCAGCTACTAATACACCATTTCTATTATTTTGTCATTGTGAGAATGTAACATAAATGGAATAATACAGTATGTAATGTTCCGTGATTGGCTTTTTTCCAACACAGCATAATTCTTTTGAGATTCACCCAAGCTGTTGCATGTATCAATAATTCCTTTTTATTCCCGAGTCCATGATATGTATATGTTGAGGTCAAACAAAATATAGAGAGATAAGTTTCTAAACTTAAAACATTTTATTTGGGAAGCAAGAATTGCAATTCAGAGCATACACATAGACCAAAGACTTTTGGTATGTCTGAAGAACAAAGAGAGTGTTGACAGCTCTACAAAAAGGAGAAATGTTTCATATTGTTTTGAAAAAAAGCTCATTGGCACTAGTAAAGTTTTGGGGGAGTTGGCAAGGGCTGATTGGTGATGGTGGTGCGTAAAACTAGGGGGGAAAAAACCCAGCTAGTTGTTTCAGTAAATATTACCTAAAACTGTTTGCAGGTTACAAAGGCCAATTTCATCAGCCAGGCTTGCAGAGAATTAAACTCTTGGAGCACTGTTATGTCCTTTGGATACTTTTCTTCCCTGGGCATCTGATTTAGTTAGGTGTGACAAGAATGACCCAATTTGGATGATCAACTTTCAGATTTATCCCTTTTGCTCAAGATCTTTCTCTGAAAGCATGACCAATCAACCATCTTGAAATTAGACTTAATTGTCCCTCAGTGTTGGGATAGACCTGTCCTGGTTGTCTCTGTCCCAGGTTGGGAGGACTGTATGTGGATGCATGTCAGGGACCTGGGCCACATTTGAGCAACAAAGAGGACAGAAGAAAAAATTTTTCTCAGGGTCGGTTTGTCTGGAGTCCAGCATCAAACTCCATCTTCTCAGTTCCATACACATCAGCAGTCACCTTGAAGCATTGGGCTAACATTATGTCGCGGGGAGAACTGGCTTTACAAAGATTAGGCAGGTGATAAGAACAAGGTTAAAAAATCATAAGGCAGTCCTTGCCTGCGAGAGTGGCCACTGCGTTGGTGCTCTGGGGCTTGGACCCTGGCTAGCCAGAAAATAAACCTCCTCTTGTGTGATTGCATCCTCAATGTCTCTGCTTTTCTGTCCGGTGGGGCTGTGGAAGGTCAGTCCCTAACAATCATAGCTCAGTGCAACCTCCAATGCCTGGGCTTAAGTGATTCTCCTGTTTCAGGCTCCTGAGTACCTGGGACTATAGGTGTGTGCCACCATGCCCGGTTCATTTTGTTAGGGACTGGCTTCCTGTACCCTGCCAGGCAGATGAACAAAGACACCAAGGATGCAATCACTCAAGAGGAGCTTTATTTTCTGGCTAGCCAGGGTCCAGGCCCTAGAGTGCCAGCGCAGTGGTTGCTCTTACAGGCAAGGACCCTGACCAAAGCTGGGCTGCCTTTTATCCCCCTCCCTCTTGAACACCCGCGCTGCACAAGCTGATTGGTGCGTGTTAGTCTTTAAAATGATTGGTGGGCGTGACTGGTAGCCCACCGGCGGCAAAGGGGCCTTTCTCCCTTATCTGTCACCGTACCTATGGTCTAGCTGCAGCAAGCGATTCTCAGAAGCAGAAATATGCGTTTAGCCGATAGCTCTACCTTTGGACCCCAAGCTAGCAGTTTCCAGAAGCCGATTACTCCTCCCCTGGGCCAATTTTCTGTTATCCGGGCTCGCACAAGTGAGCCAGCAGCTTTGGGCTACAACCAAGCCCTTACAATTTGTGTATTTTTTGTAGAGGCAGGGTCTTGCTCAGGCTGGTTTCGAACCTCTGTCTCAAGCGTTCCTCCCACCTCAGCCTTCCAAAGTGCTCAGATTAGAGATGTGAGCCACCATGCCCAGCCTCAAAGGTTATCTTGGTTGTTTCCAAGTTTCGGCAATTACGAATAAAGCTGTTGTAATCATTCATGCATAGGTTTTTGTGTGAACGTAAGTTTTTAGCTCATTTGGGTAAATACTAAAGAGCATAATGGCTGGGTTGTACGGTATTTGTATTTCGTTACATTAAAGAATGTTTTATAGTTTTCTGGAAAAAAAAATCATAAGGCAAAAAAAATTAACAATAGAAAAATTAGGCATTAAAGGGATAAGAATCTCATTACAATATGGGGAGTCTTTTTTTTTAGACAGAGTCTCTGTTGCCTGGGCTAGAGTGCCAAGGCATCAGCCTAGCTCACAGCAACCTCAAACTCCTGGGCTCAAGCAATCCTCCTGCCTCAGCCTCCCAGGTAGCTGGGACTACAGGCATGTGCCACCATGCAGGGCTAATTTTTCTATATATTTTCAGTTGTCCAATTAATTTCTATTTTTTAGTAGAGATGGGGTCTCACTCTTGCTCAGGCTGGTTTCAAACTCCTGACCTTGATTATCTTCCCAGAGTGCTAGAATTACAGGCGTGAGCCACTGCGCCCGCCGATATGGGGAATCTTGTTTGGATGTCTTAGTAAAAGGTGTTCCCATCAACTTCTCATCTGGGTTTGCAGTTTGAATCTCTCTGGTGACGACACTCACTGGTTTGATGAACTTTCTACGTGGCCTCTACACGACCTAGCGTGAGAACGCCACCTTAACATTATTGATCAGTTGCCAATACGCTGGATTGGACAAAGAATGCGTTTTGTGAGGAGCCCCCACGTGATTTATACGGTAAGGTCCTGGGGGCGTGGGGGCCTGGGGGAAATTATTAGGCCTCCCTGGCCTCCCCCGCCCCCGCAGGGCTTATCACGTGTGCTGTGAGTCACAGCAGACAGGGACAGGCGGCGAGCTCTGCGCACCTGCAAGGAGAGAGGTTGGTTGGGCTGTGAGCGCACCAAGCGTGGCGCTGCGGCTGACCGACGCGGCAGGGACTGCGACTGCGGGCGAGGGCACCCACGGTAGGCGCTTGCAGTCCGAGAGACCGGGAGGGCGAGGCACGGAGGGCGGCCGTGCGTGGGGGATGCGCTGGCAGCCGGACGCGGACTCCCAAGGGAGCCGGGTCGCCAGGATTCCGATGGACCTTCCCGGGGGCCCCAGTGCCGCGCTACGCTGCTAGAGCCGGAGACGCGCCGAGGGGGGCCGGCACGGAGAGGGGATGGGGGGAGACTTTGAGAATTTTCTTTTTTCTTGTTTGCCACATAAATGCATTTTTTTGATCACTATAAAATTCACATGTTTTCAAATGCTCTTAGGAATGTTTTGAAAATTGATAGGATTTGTACCAAGCGCATCGCGCAGGCTGGATGGAGCGCATTCGCGTGTTCACGGCTCGGCCACCGCGTCTCGGGGCTCCAACAATCCTGTTCTTTCCAAACCCACACGCCAGGACTAATTTTTTTTTTTTTTTTTAACGCATAGACGGAGAGCTTCGTTCTGTCTAACTGCAGTCTCAATCTCCTGAGTTCAAGAGATCCTCCCATCTCACCCTTTTAGGTGCGAGGACTATAGATGTGCGTCACCATCGCCTGACTAATTAAAAAAAAATTTTTTTTTTGGCCAGGCGGTGGCTCACTCCTGTTATCCTAGGACGCTGGGAGGCTGAAGCGGGAGGATAGCCTGAGATCAAGAGTTGGAGAGCCAGAACGAGAACTGTCTCTACTAAAATAGAAAAAATTATCGGTCCATAGTATGCCTGTAATCCCAGATACTTGGGAGGCTGAGGCAGGAGGATCGCTTGAGCCCAAGAGTTTGAGGTTCCTGTGAGCTATGATCACATCACTGTACTGTATGTAGCCAGGGCAACAGAGTGAGACTCTGACTTTAAAAAAACTTTAAAAATTAAAAAAAAAAAAATTTTGGAGACAGTCTCCCTATACTGCCCCAAATTACTTTTTTCTGTTGTTTAGGATTTTTTTTTTGTCAGTATCTAAGAGTCACAAGTATTCATAAATATAAGCAAACTTATCCTAAATATCTTAAGCCATATTTTCAGGGTACTGTATGTGCAAATCTTCATAGTTTAAAAAACCAAAGGTTAATAGAAACTGGCATATTTTAGAATAGTCAAGGCAAAAACCCACTACTTCTTTTTTTTTTTTTTTTTTTTTTGAGACAGAGTCTCACTCTGTTGCCCAGACTAGAGTGAGTACCGTGGCATCAGCCTAGCTCACAGCAGCCTCAAACTCCTGGGCTCAAGCAATCCTCCTGCCTCAGCCTCCCAGGTAGCTGTGACTACAGGCACACGCCACCATGCCTAGCTATTTTTTTCTGTTTTTAGCTGCTTTGGCTAATTTATTTATATTTATAGTAGAGACTGGGTCTCGCTCTTGCTCAGGCTGGTCTCGAACTCCTGAGCTCAAGCAATCCTCCCGCCTCGGCCACCCAGAGTATTAGGATTACACACAAGCCACTACGCCTGCCAAAAACCCACTACTTCTAATACCAGCCTTTTAAATTTAATGAAGACTTTGTTGAGAATTAATATGTATTAGGAGTATTAACAAAATGTTAAAATTTCCTTTCTATAAAATATTCAATACCTAAAGCCGAATAGAGAAAATAAGTGTTTAATAACAATGTTCTGAGTTTTATGTTGTTCAAAATGCAAGTATAACATTTAATATTTGTCAATATGCTTTTATAAAAGTAAATCCTAAATTATTTAAAAAAAATAACATGGGTATATAGGAGAGAGTGCGTGGCCATGAAAAAGTGGGAGGAAGGCAGCTCCCACATCTTTCCGACTGTGCTGGCTGACCGCAGGCTGACCAGAGGACCCCGCCATTCCCCACCCCCCCCCATTGATTTTGTAATTTTAACCCACTGGGTGGGGGTGGTGTCATTCTAAATGTCTCAGTGGCATTTGGCCCCCCAGTGTGGTGGGTTTACTGTGGCTTTTATGTCTTTTCCATGTGAAATCTCAATTTTATAAACAAGGGAACTAGAGTCTAATTTCAAGGCTTGTATTAAGGAAAGAAAGAAAACATTGGATCATTGCACTTTCTGGACTGCAAAAAGCAAACCTCCAGGTGAATTCCCTGCAAGTCCCTCAGCCTAAGCCAACCCATAACCTCATCTGAATGTTGTCTGTTTTCTCCCTCAAACTGGCTATTTTGCATACCTGGGAATTTGCTTTGCCTGCCTACTCTAAATAGGAGGGAAGGGGGGGCGGCTGGCCCACACCTGTAATCCTAGCACTCTAGGAGGCGGAGGTGGGTAGATCCTTTGGGCTCAGGAGTTTGAGACCACCCTGAGCAAAAGGGAGACCCCTATTTCTACTAAAAAAAAATTGAAATTAGCTGGACAACTAAAAAATATACACACACACATATATATATACATATATATATATACATATATATATATACATATATATATATATATTAGCCAGGCATAGTGACACATGCCTATAGTCCCAGCTACTCCGGAGGCCGAGGCAGGAGGATCGCTTGAGCCCAGGAGTACCCTAGCAGAAGCAACAGAGTGAGACTCTGACGCAAAAAGAAAAAACAAAAAATCACACCTCTTTCATGTCACAGGGTAAACCTTCCCCAGAGTCCCAGCGGAACAGTTGGTCTGGGCGACACTTTCACAGCATTGCATGTTAAATCTCCCATCTTTCTTCCTTCTCAGGCTTATCCTGGCCCCAGCTAAGTGCCAGAGAACTTGTGCGCACGTCTCCCTTCCTCCCTTCCGGTTCCCAGCGATGGGCAACTCCAGCTTTGGTCCCAAGGAATCACTACTGCAGAGGCCTGTGTTTATCATACACAACTCCGTGCCGCGCCAGGGAAGCGGAGATTACCGCGTGGTGGTGGCAGGCTCCGCCGGCGTGGGCAAGAGCGCGCTGATGCAGAGATGGGCACATGACACCTTTCGTAGCGCAAACCAGCCAACCATTGAAAACAATTACTGCAAGTTGCTGGGCTGCAACCACGGCGTGACTTCCCTGCACATAGCTGACAGCGCATGCGGACACCAGTATCCTCCTCAGCAGCGTCTTGCAGTTATCCAGGGCCACGCCTTCATCCTAGTGTACTCGGTCACCAACAAGGAAACTCTGGAAAAGCTGAAGCCCTTCTACGAGCTGATCTGTAAGATCAAAGGTGATGACTTGCCTAAGTTCCCCATCCTGCTGGTGGGCAACAAGAGTGATGAGAACTGCCGGGAAGTGGCGCTGAGTGAGGGCGCCACCTGTGCGCTGGCGTGGAATTGCGCCTTCATGGAGATCTCGACCAAGACAGATGTGAATGTGCAGGAGCTGTTCCACACGCTGCTGACCCATAAGAAGAAGCTCAATACTTGCCCCCAGGGTCCCCAGAAGAAATCTCAGATGACTAAGACCACTGAGAAGCTGTTTGACAAATGTAGCTTCATGTGAGCCTTGGTCCTTAGGAGCTAGATCTGCCCATCCTGTAGTGGATAGAAAATATGGGGTGATCTATGTATGTTACCTGCACATGATGTGTGTGTATTTGTGTGTGTATGCATGCAGTGGTTTAGACAGCAACAACTAGATGAAAATAAATGTACCTTGTGAGTTAGTAATTTTTATTTTTCTCAGGCAAGAGAATTCAAATTGTTAAGACACTGGCATTTGAGAACAAAAAAGTACCACGATGCATTTAAAATAAAATCTTTAATAGTAAATTTGACAAGAGAAAATGTTTTGAAAAGAATACAATACCAAAATGAATTGAAAAATGCCACAGCCCTTTGAGTAACCCTATTATTATCTATTATTTTTAACATTTCAACTCCTGTGTTTAATCATGTATGTTCATTGTGTATTTAATAGTTAAGAAATATGTTTTCACAACAAATACTTTGACAAATTGCTGTGAGACAGATACACTAAGGAAACAAAAAAAGAATATTCTATAGCTGACCAATGGAGGTGGGAACAGAGAAAATTATGAAAGCAGAACTCTCTCACCAAAGATGTGTTGTTTCTTGTGTCATTTAAAAATGTTTAAGTATTCCACACAGCAATTTTAATAGTGTAACAGTTCCTTGACTTAATAAAGTTTTTCCTGCATGCAATGAGCTGTAAGAATTTTTCTTACCAGACAATAACAAAATGACCCATTGCATTAAAATTGAAGCCACATCTGTTAAATGTTTATAATAAAAACTCCACACCTGGACATTCTTGCTCTCCTGAAATTAGCTAGTGGCAGAGGGGGCTGTCTAGGGGGGTGCCTGCCATGCAGAACTGTTGTATATCCATAACCTTTCCTGGACTGATGTCCAAAAGAACTGCAAGCATCTTTAAAGAGGATACTCACTGTGTTGCTGTCTCAGAGGAAGCAGGTGAAAAGCAAAGCTCAGCCTTCTATTGTCTCAAAAGTCTTTCCTCAAGAAATATTGGATATAAGGAATGGGGAGGAGGACAGGAGGTAAGGGGAGGGAGAAATGGATGGGATTTGAAATTTGAGAAACTCCCTCATGAGGGAGTTTTTTTAAAAGATTAATTTTATTTGAACATAATTTGTTTGAGTGAGGAAATAGTGTAACGGAGTCCAAGTTGTACCACTCACAGCAGGACAGCCAGTAAGTAAAGAGACAAGGTGTTGGGGCAAGGAAAGTGACTTTTATTCAGAGAGCTAGCAAACCAGGAAGCTGGCAGACTAATGTCTTAAATATTTTAAGTTAGTATGAACTTTAGACTTTTTCGTCTTAAGGATGAAGGGGATTCGTAAGGGGTAACTGAGGACTCCAGACATCTGTGTGTCAGCAAGGGTCTGAGGAAGTTGTAAGACTTCTTTGCTTAGTTAACTTTGGATGAATAGGTCAGGTCAGGATGTTCCTATAAATCTTTATCATAGCATTGTTACTTGGGGCAACAGGGCTTTCATCTGGCTACTTCCTGCTAGGCAAGGTCAAGGAGAGGTGACTAGATTGAAACTCTTCCGACCTAAGGAAATACTCCCTAGTGTCCTTCTTTGGAGCATTTCTCTTTTTGCTTCCTTGGTTGTGTTCAGACCTGTAGAGCTCATGGACTGGAGAACTATTCAGTAGGAAGAATGGCCAGAGCTTGGCGATGTGTGAGAGTTTGGAAGAAAGGGAGAGATTGAGGGGACTGCCACGTTGCTGAATGGGATTCCTGGTTGGGTTATGGGGTCATTAATTGTAGAAATGCAGAAAGGAGCTGACTTGGGTGAACATCTATTTGCACATGCACTTGACAATAAGTTACATTTTGAATAACATAGTTGCAAGGTGTTTATGGGACAGCCAGGTGGAGGTTACCAATGGGAACTGGACTGGGATTAAGGAGAGGAAACAATGTCTGAGTTTTCAGCATGTGGCCAATGGTAAGACTATGGGGGGCAAGGAGGAGGCAAGGAAAAAGGGTTTAGAACAGAATCACAGAGAATAGAAGAACTTAGCTACTAACAAAGAAGAAACTCACAGTGTACAGTAGTAAATGCTGAGACAGAAATGAGTTTCAAGGAAAAGCATGTCATCCATCATAGCAAAAAAGTAATAATATAAAATGAAGATTATAAAATGTTACTCATATTTAGCAGAGATTTCTGGTTCCAGCCAAGACAGAGTAGCCCCATTCCTCCCAGGTACTCCCTCTTACAACTAAAATAACCCTGGACATAACACAACAAATAAAGAAAAATAATTAAAGGTGAAAAATCATGAACTGTCTAGGAACCTCAGGATGTGAGGAATGATGTGATAATGAATTCCCTGGGTTTCTTATCTCCCCTACATCCTGGATGGGACACTGCAGAAGCCTCCAGTCTAGAGCCACCAGCAGGCACAGACCAAAAAAAAAAAAAAAAATGGCAGGAGGGGCAAGAAAAGCACAAACCCCCTAGTGAAAGGACCAGGAAAATAGTAATTCAACATGAGAAAACATTTTTGGCAATACCTGCCCTATTCCAGATAAACACCAATGGCAAAACCTCTTCTCATCTTCTTCACCCTGGAGGAAGTTTGTCTTCTCCCCCACCCCATCCTGCTCTGCCCTGTAGAACTAGGCAGTAGTGATTTAATTTCCACTCCTTGTACTGTTATCAGCAGGACATAGCAGGAAGCTGCAGGGGCTGTCAACCTAAATAATAAACAGAGAGAGGCTCTCTAAAAGAAAATGATGTCAATGGAGCATGATGGGTCATGACGGTAATCCCAGCATTTTGGGAGGCTGAGGTAGGAAGATCACTTGAGCCCAGGAGTTCAAGACCAGCCTTGGCAACAGAGCAAGACACCATCTCTATAAAAAATAAGAAAAATTAGCCAGGTGTGGTGGCATGTGTCTGTAGTCCCAGCTACTTGGGAGGCTGAAGCAGGAGGATCGCTTGAATCCAGGAGTTCAAGGTTGCAGTAACCCGTGATCCTGCCACTGCACTCCAGCCTTGGTGATAGAGTGAGACCCTGTCTCTAAAAAAAGAAAGAAAGAAAATGATTATTTGGGAATAAAGCATTGCAATGGGAATATGCATACATAGTAAACTAATACATATATTCAGGAAGACAAAGGTTTTTTTAGGGAAAAAAAATGAGGGTTACCTAATTGTTTTGAAATAGTTATCCTTGGTTATAAAGATCAATAACAAGGGTGATACAAGTCCAAGGTTGTATAGGCAGTTGTTGGGCAGATGTCTTTACAGAAGTATCTTTTGTGTAAGGTTGCAGTGGCCTTTGTGCAATGTTTGGTTTGTGTAATCTTTTTCATTATCAGACTTACAAGGGTGAGAACTCTCTCTTCATGGCCTTTCCTGACTATTTGTCAGGGTTTTAACATTAGTGACTCCATTTTTATTTTGACAACTTTCATACTTTCTCCTTTTGATCAAGATCTTTCTCCAAAAACATCACTGATCAATCTTCCTATAGTTAGGTTTTGATGTCCCTTGATGCTGAGATGGACCTGTCCCAGTTGCTGGTCACATCCCATGTTGGAGGGAGTGATTGGTAACTAGGAGTCAGTGTTAAAACCCTGTTAGTGACATTTGAGTACCAAGGGAGGTTTGAAGGAAGTGGCTCTCAGGCTAAGTCTACCTGGAGTCTATAATTGAGTTCAATTTTGTCTGTTCTGTAGTCTTTTGCTGTCATCTCAAAGTACTAGGCCAGTGTTACTTTGTTAGGAGTTATGCTTTTGCAAAAATGTATCAACTAACAGATACTAATTTAAAAAGCAAAATTAATAGTAATATGACAATTCCAATTCACATAATGGTTTTGAACCATGAGCCTAGGCTTAAGACAACCAATTAAATAAATCAAATGACAACACAGAATTAGGTAAGACCTGTTGTAACCACAGGTCCTGTTTGCTTGTTTTATGTATATGGGTCTCAACTTTCCCTGAGGAAATTATCCAGGTATAGCATGTAGTATTAGCAATAGTGCGGGTATTTTCCTATTTAACCAGTGGATACTAAAGGATTTTTTAGGTTACATTTGTTAAGTTACCATCAGAAGCTATTGATTGTGAAATTTCAATTACACATTTAATTTTTTTTTTTTTTTTTTTTTTTTTTTGAGACAGAGTCTCACTTTGTTGTCCAGGCTAGAGTGAGTGCCGTGGCGTCAGCCTAGCTCACAGCAACCTCAAACTCCTGGGCTCGAGCGATCCTTCTGCCTCAGCCTCCCGAGTAGCTGGGACTATAGGCATGAGCCACCATGCCCGGCTAAGTTTTTATATATATATATCAGTTGGCCAATTAATTTCTTTCTATTTATAGTAGAGACGGGGTCTCGCTCTTGCTCAGGCTGGTTTTGAACTCCTGACCTTGAGCAATCCGCCCGCCTCGGCCTCCCAAGAGCTAGGATTATAGGCGTGAGCCACCGCGCCCGGCCTACACATTTAATTTTAATTACACCATTATCCTAGTGAAAAAGGTAGCATTAAGGCGGGTAAACGTCTCATTATTATAACTACAGTCCATAGGCCACATGTGGGTGTTTTTACCTGTTTGTTTTTTTACTTCAAAATAAGATATGTGCAGTGTGCACAGGAATTTGTTCATACATTTTTTTTAAACTATAGTCTGGCCCTCCAACGGTCTGAGGGACAGTGAACTGGCCCCCTGTTTAAAATGTTTGAGGACCCCTGATACAGAGTCTTGTTCTGACATCTCAAGAAGAGTTGTCTGTGGCATGAAAACATTGACTTCTCCTGATTTGTAGTTTGAATATCTGTGGTCATAACATTAGGCAATTTGGTAAACTTTTTATGTGGTCCATACATCAAACACAAAGGTTGTTCCTTAAAATTCATCTAGCTTTAGCTTATAGGGCTTTAGAAATAGAGCTCTTTTTGTTGTGAGTTGGACAGTTGTAGCCAAATATTGGAGGAAATTAGAATTTAGGATCTAATCCAGTCTAAAGGTAGATAATATGAACTTGAAAACAATGCACAGACCTATAATTTAATAGCAGGTGTGTTAGAGTTTCTTCCTTTAGAAACATAATTTTTTCTCTATATATTGATCATATAGGAATCTCAGATTCAAAAACCTCTTGATGCTAGGAAGCCAAACCTAGGCAGACTTTAGATTTTACTGACAGTTTTAAGGTTCTTGGGCCTGCCAGGAAATGATTATTTTTATTCACTCATTATGAGGCTGGAAACTTTTGAAGTCAGGTGTTTTATATACATTCTTAAATATGACATTCTAGTCAAAGCCTTGGTGATATAACCATTATTTCCAGTTGTATTCTGCATATGAAGAGACAGCAGATTCTTACTGAATTTATGTAAATAAAAATAAGAATACTCACAAAGTTTCTGAGTTTTGGTGGAATCAAATAGGGAGAAAAAGCAAATGCTTTTATCTTTGATCACAAAATATACTTTACCAAATTGTTTTAAACTATAGATAGCTTATGAGAAAATTTTTTCTTGAATCTTGAAAACAAAACATTTAAGAACCAACAATATTTTAAAGACAACAATGTTTTAAATAAGTCATAAAAACATTATCAATCACTTAATTTCATATAATTAACTTTTTGTTTTGCTTAATCTTGATTAAGCAAACACCTATACAAATATATATCTATACAAATATAACTTTAGG